AGCACCAATCCACCGATCCTACACATATATGTGGTAAATTATCCACCCCACTAATCTGGCTATTGAAGCACTAGTTGCAATCAAAGTGTTGTAATCCTGCTCGTTTAATAATTGTCCACATGAGATCGCATAGCATATTACGTACGGTGTATAACTTCATACGCTAGTTTGTCTCCAACCATTGATTCTAGTGATCCTCAATGGAGATGAACTTTGTTTGATCATTGAAATGATATTGTTGAAGGAAAGATTCATCAGGCCTACAACTAAGAACATACGGTGGCAGAGACCTATTTATACACGATGAAATTTGTCAAACATTTTAGAAATTAAGATGTTTTTTTTTTAATTTATTTTCTTGATATTTTATTGCAAACATAATTAATGTCACTAAAAATCCCACTTCTCCCTTTCGATGAAACATATATAGGCGCGTCTGAAACATCAATTCTAAAATAATATTTAACACTCATATCCATGTTAGACATTGACATGAATATATGGGTCAACATAACATAGCCAAAACTCTTGAGGGATGTGTGTTACTTGTACTAGGCCATACCGGCCAAAAAAATCGTTTCTTTTTGTGTGTGTGATTATTGAGATAACAATGGTCAATGAAAGATTCATCTCCATGGCCCAAGAGACTAGATGGCTGAGATCTACTCGTTCAAAATGATGCACTTTTGCACGTTAGATTTCGATTTTCTATGGTATTGAGTAGAAAGTTGATGTTAACTTGAAACCTATTGGATAAGACTCGTGTTTATGTTAATGGCATGTATTTGCACCAATGCTTAAAAAATAACGGATCAGGGCGGATCGTCAATCAATCCCGATTTGGATTTGCTGGATCAGCCATCTAGACCGTTTTTGAACTGTTTGGTTCGGTGATCCAAAATAATTACAAAATAAAAAAAATTAAATAAAAATAGAAATAAAGGTTTATTGGATGGGGATTTAGGGGACCACACATAACATTAAATAAGCTTAAAGAAGACAAGAACAAAATGAAAAGAGGAAAGGGGGGGGGGAGAGAGAGAGAATGGACCTAGACTCATGCCATGCTTGAGCCAGTTCAATCCTGATCGATTCTGCTTTCGGATCGTGACTCAGAGTGAAAATCACCGGGTTTTAAAACCCTAATTTGCATGTATGGACATATTAGTGATATAAATACTCATGTCTGATACTTTTGAAGCCTAAGCACTCCATTTTAATCTCAAGGGAAATAATTTCACCCAAAATCCCATGGGCCCCTTTTTTAGATGGTGCATTTGAAAGGCTAATTTTAAAAAAATTGACATTGGTATTATTCATATCTGCGTTAGATAATGAGATGTGTTTTAGGGTAACATGGTCATAAAGTCTTGAGGGACGTGTACACCTATTACTAATCAAATTATCACTAGTTTTCTGGGATTTAATTTTAAATTAAAATAAATCATTTATATATAATAAAACTCACAACAAAAAAGTAAGAAAGAAATCGATAGATTCTTTGATTCTATTTACAAATACAAAATTTAGAAAATATGATCAATTTGATAGTTTAAGGATAAATTAATTTCGTAACCTTCTATGAATTTCATATTTATTATTTAAAAAAATAAATTTCAAAATTTTATATTTGTCCTAATCCAATTTGTGTGGAGACCTGGCGACCTTATTTCACAGTGCTCTAAAAAGAAAGATACATTATTAGAAGAGAAAAAGAAAAATCAAGTATTTTATTCATTGAATTTATTCAAAAGAGAAAATTGAGGGAATCAAGATATTTGAAACCAATTGAACCTTAATTATTAAGATTCTAATTTGGGATGATTATTGTTGTAGCTTTTTCTAAGGGGTGCGGTTTGTATAGAGCTTAGGTTCTAAACAATCAAATTAGAGCCTACCTTCAAATAGTGTCAAGAAATATGGTTTCAATACTGGAAATCTTTGTGAAACTTTTAAAATATATTTTCATATTTATTTATAAAGTTTAAAGTTTAAAAAATAGTGTAGAACGACAGATTTATAAAAACTTGAAAACATTGAAAATTGAAGATTCAAAAATGCTTTACAAAATACACTATTTTCAAACAAGACCTGAAACATCAAACACCAGCCCATGCCTAGCATGTTAGAAACTTGATAGGAACCAACCCGGCTACTAGGATAATATATTTTTTTTTGTGAGTAAGTGTGAGCTTTGTTAAGATAATGAAACAATGGAAAATAAAAAAGAAAAGAAAAGACAAAGCAAGAAAGGCCCTGAGGGAATCAGGAGGGAAGGAGTTAAGGCCAGGGGGGACAACAAGACCAAGGCTTACGAAGTAGCCCGAATTAAACCCTCGAGCAACATGCGTTAAAGAGACTTGAAAATCCCTCAAATGTAACAAAATTTTGTTTATGAGACTACTTAGGTGCCAAGGGTTAGAGTCCGGGAACAAACACCGGCTGATGACGTAGCCGAGCTCCTCGAGTAGGAACGATCTACATTTAGAACTCCCATCTTCACCGCCTCATTTATCTCACGAGGGAGGATTCTGCCCAAAACAATCTACATCATTGCTCTACAGTGATCACGAAGACTTCCCCCATACCCAGCCATATGTCCCTTCGTACTCCCATCAAAATTAAGTTTGACCCAACCGTCAGCGGGATGCTTCCACGCATAACCCAAGGAAAATCGTTTGGGCTTGAAAGTTAATAGATTTGTGAAGTGTGCAAAGAATAATTCCTTAGGTATAGCTTTTATGTAGCTGAGATGATGATATTGACATAGATGAGTGGCAAGACAAGAAGGGATAGAATTCGAAATGAATATATTTGAAAGAACTTAGGCATGACTCCAATAAATGATAAGATAAAAGAAAGTAGATTTATGTGGGTTGGCTATGTGCATTACAAACTCAATACGTACTTATTAGGAGGTGCGAGCTGGTTCAAGTGAAAGGCTAAAAAAAAGTAAGAGGTAGGCCCAAAAGAATATGGCTAGAAATAGTGAGAAAAGATATATAAGTATGGTCATTTATGGAGCAAATTGGCGGATCAGAATTCATGTAGCAACCTCAAATAGTCGGTAAAAGGTTATGATTATGATAATGATGATGATGAAGAACCATAATGGTCAAGGTCGAGATGATCAATATGAAGGATTTTCGATACCATAAGTACAATTTTCGGTGAGTTTTAAGGTGAGGCTTTACTTATTTTGATAGGGTTGAAGCCCTATCAAAACATGTTCATTCTATAAAGGTACACAAGAAACTCGTCCGAGCATATATTATGCACCTACTCCCTTGGGAGGATTTTTTTTTCAATTTAAAAATTTTAAAAACCACCTAAGAATCAAAGTAAGTGATTTGAATTTTACGTTTTCTAGCACTAAGATACCTCAAAAAATTGGATTGTTTTTGTTTAATATTGAAACATTTTCTTTTCCAAGTACATAGAGTGTGATTTACAATTTTTTTTATTAGTGCTGGTCTATGGGTTGAAGATGTCGCATATCTACAATTTATAGTCCTAGGGTCACTGCTGAATGGATTTTTTCCAAGGGAGTAAATGAATAGTATGCTCCCACAGGAGCATGAAATCTTTTGGCACTTACTATTGTCACGCTTGAATGATGTGCGCCGGTATAACATGCGTGAGAAGTCTGGTCAAAACTAGCATTAGGCGCCGTTTGGATGGGCCATAAATCAGACTTAAGTGCGTTCCTTAAGTAGAAAGAAACTAAGTGCTTTGAGCCATAGTTTGGTCTCCCAGCCTATATCCATAGTTTACTACCATTTCATGACCACGCTCAAAAACGTGTTTGTTCAGAAAATGCCACAAACCACCGTAGTGATATCAATAAATAAAATCGTGTCTTCCTTTGTTTATGATTAAACTATGGATGGATAAAATCATGTCTTCCTTTGTTTATGATTAAACTATGGAGTATAAATAGGTGATTTGCATATGCAACCTTAAACAATTAAAGGCAACCGCACCTTCAAACTTTGTTATAGGCTGCAATTTTGGAGTTGAAATTTTTGGGATGGCTCGAGAATCAATTTTCATTTTTAATTATAAAATTTTTAACTCAAAAAATAGTTCAATGAAATAGATCTATAAACTCATAAAAATCTTGAAAATGGACGGTCCAAATAATATGATGCAAGATTACTATTTTTACAACCTCTTTTTTTTTTGGGTAGCTAAAAATGTTTATAAATTCCAACCCACTGGATTCGAACCAACGGCCTAGGGATAAACAACATTCCACTACAATCCTCCGCTCCATCAACTGAATTAAGGTCAATTGCTCACCATTTTTTTGTGCAATTTAGTGGCGAGACTTGAAAATTTTCTGTTTACATATCTATACATTTGGATGTCAAGATGATTAATTAGATGGTTTTTCAACATCATAATATTATTTTTCATAGATGCATCTTAATTCTACTATATAAGGTACCGACCTTATATAAATTGTTCCATGTATAATGTTTGCTCAACTTAAATGTTCTAAAATTGCCTGATTTCTCAACTGCATTATCATACAATGCACATGTGCCAGCTACCGGCATACACAAAAGGCCCGGTTCACCAAGTTCTGTCAGCTCCTTTCTTTTGGAACAAAGATAGAACCAATTATGAGTAATACTTGCTTATTCAAAAAAATTATAAATAATACTTCATTGATTTCTTACCCTGGTGTAATTTATTAATAGAAAAAGAATTAAACTTAAGAAAAGTACATAATGAAACTATTTATCTTTGATACAAGGTGGTCACAATGAATCTTGACCATTAGATGGTTTCATTTACTCCGTTGACCAAACTCAAACTTCAAAAAAAAAAAATTCAAACTTTATGATAAACCCAAACAATCAGATTTCACATTAGATGGTTGTAAGTAATTGTGACTTCCTTGTATATCAAGGGTATAACTTTCCAAATAACAATTTAATAAAGACCGGCAAACTGAAACTACCAAGTTACTATTCATCCACAATAGTCCCTGATACAACAATATTTCAAATAAAGAAGGAAAACCAAAATACCACACACATTGCCCACACATAATCATGTGCGAACCGACAATACACACACTAGCAAAGAGATTCATACACACATAGATACATACATGCATATATACATACATACATACATACACATGGGTAACATTTGCTATTTGGAGCTTCTTCTACGGTAGAGAGAGTGTGAGGAGAGGCCGACAAGAAGCACAAAGGCTATTGAGGCAACGAGGGAGACTGCAGTCGATCCTCCAACGTACCGGCAAAACTTGCCAAAGACGGGGCAAATCGCGGGCCACATAGCATGAGAATTGCCCTTGAGTCCAACATACGCGATTGCAGCAGAAGCACCTGTAGCCGAGCCCACGATCCCTGCAAACACCTGCATCGAAAGGGCAATGGACTCAGTTTGGTTAGCATTTATAAGAGACACCCCCAGAGGAAAAGAAGAAGAAGCAAGTATATGAGCGGACCATTCACTTTTCATACATAGAGGCTGGAATCGCAATATTCTTCATGAAATTGATTGACTTTGAGTGTGTACCATTTGTTAGGCTCAAATCGTCAAGAGAAAATTTTCAAACCTTCTAATAATCTTTAAGTTAATGGATTTCACATATGATTGCAAGAGATTAGTGTGCTAGTTTTGATTTCATCAACAATAGTTAAAAGTGAAACACAAATGTTTGGTATATTACATAAAAAATAAAAGGAAAAAGTTTATATAAGGTTGTAACCTTTTACTATTTGAATTAAAGTGCAACTCAAAAATCTAATAAGATGGAGTGTTCCGAAGTTGGGAAACCTTCAGATTGATCATGTCTAGTTTGAGATATATGGATATAAGTAAAAAAAAGAATTTTGAGTATTAAAAATAACATTTTTTGTAGCAAGTTATCTAGACCGTCTATTTTTAAGATTCTCAAGTGTTTATAGATCTACTTAATCCAAAGTGTTTTTGAAATTTGAAATTTTATATTAAAATTGAACTTGCATTTTCAAGCCATTATAAGGTTTCCAACATTGGAACTATATCTCCGAACAAAACTTAATTATGTGCCTTACCTGTATTGTATAAGGGGGGCACCTTATATAAACCTCACCCAAAAATAAAGTTCAAATAAACACAAAGACTAGACTACCGGTTAAGCATTAATTTATACTGATTATGGATTAATGTTGAATAGGGCCACAATCAATTTGTAAAATCTATTTTAGATCAATTAGTGGAAGAAAAGAGCTTAGGGTTGTAGGCTTATCTAATCCCATGCTTTTGATTAATTTTTAAAGTGCCTTTGTACGATCGTCCCACGGGTTTAAATTACATACGGTCCCATGGGTAAAACATCCAATGAGGAGGATTGTGGCAATATTTCAATCATCTTCGATACACCCAATGAAGGATTCAAAAGAAATCCAGAAATAAGATTTCAAAAACTCAAGACTGAATGAAATCAACATGGACAGAGGATTCATCTTAGACTTCGAGGAGGTTTTTTTTATTTCTGACGGTTTTGAGATCCAATTTGCATTTTTATTTCTAATTTTTTTTTATTTTCTATAAATCGACTTACAGTGTTATACAAACCATTTTTGAAAGTTATTGGTTCATCAGATCCCATGACTGGTTGTGTAATCCATGGTTCAAATCTATAATATGGTCCCGTGAAACTACCAAACATTCCTTTAAAAGGTATAGAGATAAAGTCGGGAAAAAGTGAATTAGACGAGACACTTACGGCGTCGAAGAAAGGAAGATGGAACAAAAGCTTGTCGGAGGGACTTTTCTTGGAGACGCCGGAAACCACCGCCGTGAAGATGCTATACGCGCACGCTACAGCGTTGGCCACCACAAAGTATCTGCCCAATGTGAAATCCACTGATTTTAATTCAAACTTAGAGTAAGAGAGAGAGATTTATGGCCTTTTGTTCACAATAAGTATTTGGGTTTCAAACAAAGAATGGGACCGCATGGTGGTAGTGTCATCAATGATTATCAATTAAAAGGGTACGGCCTCTTTTCTCATTAACGCCTTCAAAAAAAAAAGAAATGACTTTTTTCGAAACAGATAGTTGCATGTAATCCATCCAACCTATTAATTGGATGGTGATGAACTCATGACTACATGGGCTAAGTTATCATGAGGATCACAATATATTTTTCTCTAAGGATATGTTTGACCCCCAATGGTGGTCCTGCCTAAACAAGGTCTTTGGAGGGGTGGGTTAAAAATAATCCTAAACTTTGGCTTATGCACAAAATGGCTGCTCTCGTGACTGGAATATGTTCTCTTGCGATGGCTATCCAAGCATTTTGCTACCCCATATGTTTGATATATATGAAAATACTTGACATGAAAAAAAAAACTCTGACAAAGTGAACAGAGATCACAAAAAAACTCTCACATCTAATCACATGAAAGAGCTTTTTCCCATCCGTAAAAATATTTGTCTGGAAAGTTTTTTCATACCGCACCAAACGTGGAACTCCTAACGTATCCAAGAATTTTAGATTACAGTTTTGAGGCCTGCACGAGAGAGACTTCCATGAAAGTGGGAGATTGTTGAATATTGCTTCTTGGATAATAGGAAGAGAGAGAGAGAGACTTGACTTACATGAAAGCGGGAGACTGATTGAATTTTGCTTCTTGGGTAATAGGAAAAGGGAGCAACGGGGAGACGACGGTGATGGTTTCCTTGCCTGTGGCCATAACAATCACAGCTGTGAGCGTCGCCGAAAAGCTCAGAAGCCTTAACCCCACATCTAAGCACCAAAGAGGCCGCCGCCCCTCAATCTCCACTCCCTTTTCGATCGACGCCATGGCTCACTTACAACTGCAAATCCTCTCTCTCTACTTTGCTTTCTCTCTCTCTCTCTCTAAACTTTGCTTTCTCTGTCTCTGTATATCTCTACACTTTGCTTTCTCTCTGTTTGATGTAGTTGCAGATCATGAATTGAAGGGCGACCAACATTTATAGTTCTCAGTCAATATCTCCCCTTCTCTCTCCAAATCAATTACTTAATTCCTATACAGCGAATGAGTAATATTTTATTGCGAATTTGCGATGGTGAATATTCGTTTATTTGTTTTTAAATGTCATATTCGAATGGGTATACAGGTCGTGAGTGGGTTGCTTACACGCTAAAAGAACAGAGTGCATGGGAACAGGAGATTCTCGCCTTCGACCGGACACACTGTTTGGCTGTTGTATAAAAAATTACGAGTAACTCAAAAATGTATTTTAAAGAAGGAAAATAGTAGAAAACGGGTAGGTCGTAGCATCCTTACAGTATCCATCTGACACCCCCAATGATAACATTTTTTTTCAAAATGTAACTCCTCAATCTATTGAAAAACAGAAATAGTTGGAGCATCTCTTCCTATGTGAATTAGTTGATACAAGGCATCAACCATGTAAGTATTGTCAGCGTAGTAGATCCATCCGAGAAGGTTCTTATGCTTGAAAATACATTAATTGATCATCTGGATATTTAAATATGTAGAATAGATATGGGCAAAAAAATATTTCTAGTCATAAAAACACTGCAATTTCTAGCATATTATCTCGACCGTCTATTTTTATAATTGTTGAAAGATCTCCTTAATGCTTTTGCAGTGTTAATTATCAGAATTAGTGGTACAAAATAAATTTTCAAGTAATAATAGGGACTTCAAACGCCAGAATTGTAAATTCTGCCAAAGTCTTTTTTTTTTTTTTTGTAGGGTGGGGGATAATTCAGTTGGAAAAACAAGTTCCTGCCCATTTTTTTTTAAATAATTTAAGAGTGAGTTTTTTGAAGGGGTCACTAGGGTGGTGGTCTCAATAAAAATGAAAACCACACCCTCTAAGAATTTAAAGAATAGAGATAACATTTAGTATATTGCCATTCACACACCGTTGTATAATTTATTAAGAATCTTGATACCTTCTTCAAATGATGCACGAAAAAAAGGTACTCAAGCAATTATTTTAAGGGTGTGGTTTGTATAGAGCCTAAGCTCTAAAAAATCAAATTAGAGCCTACCTTCAAATAGAATCAAGAAATGTGATTACAATACTAGAAATTTTTGTGATAGCCTTAAAATATATTTTAATCTTTATTTATAAAGTTTAAAGCTTCAAAAATAGTATAAACCGACATATCTATGAAAGTTTGAAAATCTTGAAAATTGACGGTCCAAAAATATGTTACAAAATATACTATTTTTAAAACTTAAAATCCATTTTCTTCTCATGTTCAGGCATCTTGATGTCAAGGTGATCAATTTGAGGATATTTGGGCATCAAAACCACCTCTTTTAGTGAAATTTTTGAGGTAGGCTCCAATTTGATTGTTTAGAGCCTCGGCTCTATATAAACTTTTTTCTTATTTTAATAAGCATAAGAGAAGTGATAGAGAAATGGAAATGATATTTAAATAGGTGTTAAATCCTAAGCCAACAAACCCTGGGGTCTTTAGGATCCTTATCTGATTGGATGAGTTGTCAGATCATATAAAATTAGAGAAATGACACTTTAGAAATTAAACCTATGCTGAGTCTATTTTCTGATCTTATATAATGGGAGTGCCATTGCTTATATACTGTGGATCAAATTATTGAAATGCTCTGCTTGTTTGGGGTGAATATTTTTTAAGATATTTTAAAAAAAATTATCTAAGTGAAACGGAAGCGAAAAAATAAATTATTTGATGTTGGGCAATTTTTATGAGTCTTACGACTTGTATGTAGATCCCCCTTCATGATCCATTTGTTAACGTACATTTTAGACACAAGTATTTAGAAATATATTATCTCTAACATGAAGATCACTCAGATGTAAATAAATAAATAAATATTAAAATTAAAAGTGATGATTGTTTGAAGAAAAATTTTAGACCGTTGATTTTGATCTTTTTTCAGAGGGACCACACTTTACATCTATCTTATTTATTCCGTTAATTAACTTAAACTATTAATTACGTTATTTGGATCGATTTCTTTTGTGGGTCTTGTCCCACTGAAGGACTTCATCCCGTTACCAAGTACCCGAATAACAAAACATTATATCTCTATCGAAATAACGCCTTCGAGTTGCTTGTCTTGATCCATATCTTCGAGTTGTACAAAGTTTAGGATAAGCGAATACTTAATTCTTTCCGATATTCAACAAATCAGCTTCACATTTGAAACCTAATAATTCAACTACACAATTGACATTTGATAATTCAACTACATAAGACTGGTGCTGCACAATATTTTTGTTTAACCAGTTCAGTACAGCTAACTTTCAGATGTATTTCATTGAAATTTGGAATGAAAATAGATCTTTCTCCGCCGTTAATGTTGCATCATAGCTCCAGATCTAGTTCAATCGTTCAGATTTTAGTCTAAATATTCACATAACATTTAGACCTAAGTTAAAGCTTAGTTAAGAAAATGAAATGAGAAAAATAGGAAATGGGCCTTGACTTTCAAACATGTGAAAGTAAGAGATGGACATTTAAAACTCGAACCGCGTACTACAAGAAACCCATGTGAGGATGACCCATAGATTGAATATTAAGAACTACTTTTTTAAAGCTCGGATTGGTGGGGCGGATTGTTCTCCTGTGTCCGATTGTTGGATCAATGATTTGGATCTGATCTAGATCTGTGATGTAAAAAAATTTAAAAAATAGGG